GAAAATGCACTTGACATGTGTGTATATTTTATTACACTTGATGTCTTTTCAATGAGAGGCATATAATCCTATAATGGACTTAGGATCCGATTCATAATATTTCATTTGGAGGAATATAAGTTTAAGTCCAGATAAGATTATATACCTCTAAAGAAAACTGGACATAGTATACATAGTTTCTCGTTTACTTTCGTTTTTAAAAGCGTTTGGACTTAGAATAGTTTACTCCTAAATAAATTAAGATATTCCAATGCCGGTTATGCAATAATGTATTTTTCTACAAAATTGGACTTAGGATAGTATACTTCCCATATACAGATATATATATGGGTATAGTAAAAAACATGATGTCAGTTCAGATATTTACTTGGATTATATGCAAAAAGTTTGTTATTTTAAGAATTTAATAACTGACTGTAAATGACAATTGATTGGATCCCCTGTCGCATGCGATGGGCAAAGCTGCTAGTAATTATTATAATTGGCCACTGGCCAAAGTTAGTATATCAAAATATTTGTACACTACGGTTATAATAAATCCACAGTTTCTGTAAGTAAATATTGGCAGTTGAAAGAGCCGGTTCACAGGTTTTATCAGTTGTTAACATTTTAACACTTCAAGTTTACTATTATTAATTATGAAAAATTAACAAAAAAACATACATTTTATAGTGATGCAGTCAATAATAGTACATCAATTAATACGTCACATCAAGTACTTTGTTGGGAAATCTTAGTTTTAACACAATTTCAAGTTTAACAAATCAAAAATAGGATTTCTATTAAAAAAAAACCTCTGTATAAAGGTAATACAGTTAACAGCGTTGAATTCACTTACTATAATTGCGAATTTGTTTGACTTAACAAGTAAAGAGTTGCAACCTTTCATGTTCGTAAAAATCAAATTTGATAATTCAATCAAAAGACATTAACACGAAAGTTGCGTGCCAGTGGTGGTATTTTTTTAACTTAATTTAACTAAAATTATTATTTAAAGAACTTCTTGTATTCTAGACCATTTACTTATTAAATATATCCAGTAAGTCCAAGGGGTGTCTCTTAACTCTTCTCACTGTCCTACTGTTGTCCAGTAGGTTTACCGCAATGGAATTCGTATGAAAATCTAATTGCTTTAAATGCCTAGCACTATAACACTTATTTCTTCGCATACAACACTTACTGAAAGATCACGATATATGACTTCATTGGGTATATTACCAATCTGCTTCAAAATCTTTGATTGGGACGTCTAAAAGATTTTTTTATTGGATTCGCGTTAGTTCTCTAATTAATTTCTCACTTTGTCCACTAATGTTAATTTGCAGCTTCTTTATCAAAACATAATTTCCATGGAATTTATTTTGTTTACCACGTCGCTCCATATAATTGAGTGTAATTGTCGTGTTATTGTCTTTTCCTTCTTTATTTTATTTAATATATCCATTTCATCTGATCCTGTATTTGTTAAACTTATCTTTCAAGTATTTATATTCATTTGTATGTTTTATCGAGTTGTTATTTATCTTTAGGTCTTCTGCGGTATTTTCAGTGTCATGTATTGCGTTTAATCATAATTAATTTCCAAACCCCAGCTTCCAAATTCTTCTTCACCTATAATTAGCTACAGAAAAATGCACAAATTGAGAAGGATATCAATTTTTGGATATTGAAAAGGAGAATGATCGAATCAGATCTAAGACGAATAACAGACAAATGCCTTGGTGGAGGAAAACTGGAAAAATGAGAAAAGAAGTCAGGAGGCTATCCAATAAAACCAAAGAATTAGGGAACTGAGAAACATACATACAACAACTTACACACATAACAAAGATATAAGAAGAGCGAAAAGGGAATCCTAGAGAAGATTCCGTCAGCTATACCTGCTAGTACTAGAATCCACACGATGCTTTCCAAAGATCCGTTACAGAGACCAGGCCTACTTAAAAGACCTAAGGGAACCTTTACAGAATCTAAAAGGAAACCCTAAAATTATTATTACATAATCACTTCCCAGAATCAACAATTATTGATGAGCAATTTTCAGGTTGGAAACCTAGAACCACCCAAACGTTCTAGAAAGCAAGACTGTTCCAATTCTCTGTAAAAAAACATTAAATGGAAGAATGTAAACAACCATAAAAAACCACTTTGCTCCCAAAACTCTAGGGAAGGATGGGATATTTCCTGCATTACTACAAAAAGGATTAAACATTTTATTGCTTATCCTAACAAAGACTTTAGAGCTAGCATAGCATTAAGTTATACACCAAAGACTTAAGAACTATACGGTTGGTGTGCATACCAAAGACTTGAGAACGATAAGATTGGTGTACATACAAAAAAAATTTTTATATATAGATTTGATAGCACAGAAGGGCTATTGAGGGATCATCCCCTCAATGGCAACTAGCATGGCTATCAAGAAGACAAATCAACATGAACTACACTGGAACATCAACATAAAATCACCCACTTCAATAACAATAGAAAGATTGCGTCTCTAGCCTTTCAAGCTATATAAGTCCCAGTCAATAATGCACTACCAAATTTTCAAATTCTCTTTATAGTACAGCAGAATCAAAAGAGACATCCACTACCATATGCAACTAGAATAAAGAAATTCTGAAAAAATTAATTATACCAGACCTACAATGAAGAAATGAGAAAGATCTTCTTCTTCAAGTTCCACTCCTATCGGAGATTGGAAATCATTCTGGCAATTATAATTTTATTGGTTACTCGCCTGAATAGTTCAATTGAACTGCATCCAAACCACTCACGGAGATTGCGTAGCCACGAGATTTTACGTCTTCCTACGCTTCTTCTACCTTTGATTTTACCCTGCATTATATTCCTTAGTAGTTCGTACTTTTCACCTCTCATGATGTGCTCCAAGTATTCCAATTTCCTGATCTTTATGGAATTTAAAACTTCGCATTGTTTTCCTAGTTGTTCGAGAACTTGTTCGTTTGTTTTGCGATCCATCCATGATATTTTACAAATGCGTCGGTAACACCACATTTCGAATGCTTCTAGGTTTTTAATGTTGGATTTTTTAAGTGTCCAAGCTTCAACTCCATACAAAAGGGTAGAGAAAATATAACATTGAAGCATTCTTATCCGGAGCGATATATTGATATCGCGATTACAAAAAAGTTTTCTCATTCTATTAAAAGTTGACCGCGCAATTTCAATGCGGCATCTTATTTCTTTTGTCTGATCAGTATCTTCTGTGATTCATGCTCCAAGGTATTTGTACGAAGATATTTGTTCAATTTCTGTATTATCTAGTACTAGCTTAACTTTGATGTTTTGTGCTTTTGTAAATACCTTGAACTTGGTTTTCTTCAAATTGATTTTTAGTCCATAATCGTTGCAATGAGAATCGATGAGAAAGATATTAAGAGGAAAATACGTAAATGTTTTATCCAGATTACTCTAGCAGTAAATATTGTTACTACATAGTTGGTGCGAAGTTAAAAACTTTATTAGTCATTCGTTATAGTAAGTTTCACAAGGAGACGGGATTTGATAGCATCTGGATACCCGCTCTGTATGAAGAAACTGTTAAAGAGGCAAATGAGGTCAAATATCTAGTAGTAATACTAGATAAGTGGGTGAATGGAATGCCCATCTAGAAAGAATATCCAACAACGAAGCTTTCCCTTATACATGTTGAAGGATATGTCGGAAATCATGAGGTATTAAACCCAAACTAATTAAGACTATATTAAGACAAATTAAGACTATATAGGACTGTATTCAGACCTTTGATTACGTATAAAGCACTATTATGGCGGTCCAACAGACCACCAGGGAGAAGCTAAATAAGCTACAACGACAACCATGTTTAATCGTAACAGGAACGATGTTCCCGCTCCTGTTACGAATAAACATGGATGTCTACTACCCCAACAGTCTCGATGGAGGCCATACTTGACCTCTGTTCATTCTATATATATGAATGACGAATAAAGAAGGAGGATAAAATACAAATAGGTAAGGAAAAGAATACCGGGATCAAATCTGGAAAGATAATAAAAATCATCCAAAGTTGGAAATGGTACCAGTGCTGGTATATAAATGGCTTTACAACCATAAAGGAGTTGGAGCTCGAGCACATGAAGAAAAACCAAGGCTAAGCCATAGTAAAAGCCTAGGCAATAACTACACTATATTCCAAACAGAAATTTATGCTCTAGAGATTACCTTGCAGGAAACTGCAGGGACAGATCTATAAAAAAATATCGAATAGCCAGGTGGCATAAAGTTACTGAATCAAATCCAAGTGATTTTGGAACTGTCTTAGCATCTGATTGGAATATGAAAAGAACAAATAAATTACTGGGTGCTGAAAAATTGTATGACGGAACGAAAAGCGGACCATTTACCAGGGAGCAAAAGCAACATTATAATGCCCAGAACATTTGTCATAGCAAGAAGCACAACTAAAAGGATAATATCGAACTGGGTGTAAATAATAAAACATAATTACATGTACAAACAAATGGGTTTTAATCATCCAAACGCTTTATACACGACCCTTCGAAGAAGAAATCGAAAGACAAACTAGATATCAATGAAAATAATCTGCGAATTATCATGGGCCTCCTAACACGATAGTGTCATTTCAAGGGGCACTTCAATAAAATCAGACTTGCAGAAAGTGCGAATTGCAGGTTTTATCAGACTGAAGACAAGACGACGAAATACTTTCTGTGCAACTGACCAGCGTTGGATAGGATACGGCTCAATACATTTAAGCATTATTAACTCGATTCCTACGACTGCCAAAGGTGACACTTTTACTTCACATAAACTTTCTTAACAAGGCTGAGTTGAAAGAGCAATTGCAACTTAGAGATGAGCTACAATAGACCTCTTAGATCGAGTGGAATAACGATAATATCAATAATTGGTTGTTATATTTTTCTTGTAACTACTATGTTATCCAATACTTATAATATAATATGGAAATATAAGTAGGTATTTACACTTACATGTTGAAACGATTTCAAATGACGTAGAGATCACAATTAAAGAAAGTAGAAGCTCTTTCCACTGCATTGTAAACGTGTGCTTATTAAATGGAACTTGTTAATTTTGTTAAAACCTTGATATCCTTTCTAAAAAATTGAGAAGGAACTTGCTTTTCTTTAATTTTTATACTTTATTTCTGGTTTAGTATAAGTAAAATATATTGGAAGGGGCACAATAATTATATTCTGGATTATAAAAAACAATTCGCTTTTTTATAAAACATTAAATATACCAATAAATATTTTATTGATAAATTTATATTAAAATATAATTATTACATTAAACCAGTTAGCGTATTGAACACAAGATTTTATTATTGCGTTTTTTATGCATATTTAAGTGTTAGCCATCCTCTAGTTTCAGCGATACGTGTCCTTATATGTTAGTCCCTTTGTATAACTATACTTTCCAAAATATTTTTTTCTTTTGCTATTTTTTCAACCTTTTAAATTTACCCTTTAGGAATTTGCGACACAATTGGCCTCATTTAGCATAATTAGAGCCGCTTCTTTGATTTTTCTTTTTTTACCATCCGTTTCTTTTAGGACTACATTTGAATTATTCCATTGAACCCTATGTTCATTATCCCATGCGTGTTTACAGATTTGAGATCTATCAAATAGTCCTAAAAGAAACGGATGGTAAAAAAAGAAAAAATCAAAGAAGCGGCTCTAATTATGCTAAATGAGGCCAATTGTGTCGCAAATACCTCGGCAGAATGTAGTAGGATCTGGTTACCAATATTGAAAGAGGAAGTTATTAATAAGAAAATACCAGTATTAGTAAGTCAGTAACATATAGAGGATACATCATTTATGTTTTTTAAATAACGTAACATATAAAATCAGAATTTTGATGTTTGTTGAAGGTAAACTAAATTCACGAACAAATACTTACAATGTCGGGATAGTATTATGAGGTTTTTTTTCCTGGTTTTTCCCTCATAATTTACTATGGAATCACTAACAGGAGAATTTTACTGTCATCATGTCATGTGTTTGTCTTTTTAAAGACGAATTACATGCTATGATTTTTTTCTGACGGATATTCTCAAGTTAACGTTGATTTCATGTAATCGAATGAACTATCTTATAAGTAAAGTCGTCCCAGGAGCGCAACTCAACAATATTGACAATATCATTTTAAAGTCGTCTACGTTAAAATGCATAATGTATGTCTGAATTGTCAATATAAATGAGTCAGATAAAATTAAATTATTAGAAGAATTTTTCACTATGTAACAAAAAACAAAATTTGTTTAATTTACTGTTTGTATTTTGAGAACGATTTCCGAAGTGGAAATTGAAACGTTAATAAACGTATTTTTATCTTTAATTGTGGCTTATTCCCAGTTTAATAGTAATTAATTTACAATGCCACAAGAAAATAGCTTCAGAACAATATTAAGTGTATTCGTTGGTATGCTACCCTTTGTAAATAGTCTGAAATAAGAAGACTTCTTCTTTCAAAGATTGTTTTAAAGTCAAATAAGTCTTTATTCGGTCACTTTGGACTAGCATTTTATTTTTTACTTCCGAATGAATGTCACTTAATCATAATCTATTGATTTTACCTACCTACCAGCACAACAAAACTTGTTGTGTTGGTAAGTAGGACTGGTCCTTTTTTGCGAAAGTCAAGATTGGAGACATGAGTAGACATTATATGAAGAAGTAGTATAAGTATTGTATGCAGATCGAAGGATGGGAAGGTGAAAGTGTCATTGCTCAATAGAGTATTCCAAATCATGGCACAAGTTAACAAGTATTTAGAATCAGTTTTTGTTTAAATTTACATAAATGTTTATGTGAATAACTAATAGATACATTTCTTCTTTTCGTTGTTATCATTCGATTTCTATAACATCGGACAAACAATGGATTTTGACACTAGCCATAGACTAGTGCGAGCCAATAGTAGATTTGAAACAAGAAAAAAAAAATGGAAAATAATCAGAAATTAGACATAGAAAATCTAAAATAAAAGAAAAACAGACGTACGAAGAGAGAATAAAGGAAATATTGCCGACCAAGGAAGATGGATAAAGAAATAGCACAGACAACAACAAAAAAGAAAGTTTCATATCGCAGGAAACAAAGATTCTTATGAACACAAGAAGAACATTACTAGAACAAGGGGACAGAAATAAAATGGAATACAAAGAAATAAACAAAACTATTAGAAAAAATATCAAGGAGTGTAAACGGAGAGTACAGGAAGAAAAGATAGAGAAAACAATTGAAAAAAATAGGAACATGAAGTGCTTAAAGCAGAACCTGGAAACATACAAATTAATAGCATAAAGAACAAAGAAGGAGTGGAGACCAACAATATAAAAGAAATTTTACAGATAACGCACGAATATTATACAAATCTCTATAAAACAGAACAAAAACCAACCCAAGAAATCCGTAATCAGTTACAACTGAAAATAAAGAACGTTAACTCTGACCTACAACCAGAAATCAGTAAAAATGAAATAAAAAAGGCACTCAAAGAAATGAAGAATAACAAATATCCTGGGAAAGATGGAATAACTGTGGAAATGCTAAAAAATGGGGGAAAACTACAGTGGAAGTCCTTTAAGTACTAATGAATAAAATATTGAACACAAAACAAATACCCACCACATGGAACGAGGCAATAACACTATTACTATTTAAGAAAGGCGATAGAAAAGATCTGAAAAACTATAGGCCCATAACGCTACTTAATGTAATGTACAAACTGTTAACTAAACTACTAACAAACAGATTAACAACTAAGTTAGATAATTACCAGTCAAGAGAGCAAGCCGGTTTTAGAAAAGGATTCAGTACAAGCGACCATCTGCTTACGATAAAAATATTAATTGAAAAGGCCAACGAATATCAAATCCCAATGTATATGGCATTTGTAGACTTTGAAAAAGCATTCGATAAGGTGGAACATTGGGCAGTAAAGAACTCTTTACAAAATGGGAGAATAGACTATAGATATACGGACTATAATTTCAATATATATGATCAAGCAACAACATCCATTAAAATAGTTGAACAAACGGAGCCTATTAAGATACGGCGAGGAGTCAGACAGGGTGACACTATATCACCCAAACTATTCAATCAAGCTTTGGAAGACGTTATGAAGAAATTACAATGGGAAAAACGGGGTATTAACATAAATGATAAATACTTAAATCACTTGAGATATGCAGACGACATTGAATTAATAACAGATAAAAGGGAAAAATTACAAAATATGATGAATGAATTAAATAGCGAATCTACAAAAATAGGTCTACAAATGAATTATAATAAAACAAAAATTATGACCAATCAACTAGAAGAATTATTAATTACAATTACACAAACAACTATAGAACAAGTAAAAGAATATGTATATTTGGGACAACTAGTTAAATTAAATAAAGAAAATCAGACCGGATTTATTTATTTACCGTATGGCATACAATAAGAACACACAATTAAAAAAATCAATATAAAAACGTTACATGAAGTATTACAAACGAACATCTAATGTATTATTAATATAATGTAAAACATTTTCGGTCGCATTCAGGAACTCATCGAAAACTCCACGGAATCGCCTTCGGGACATTCTTCAACAATGTGACGGACGGTCTGTCGTTGCGCACCACAGTCACACTCAGGAGTAAGGGCTTTTCCCCATCTATATAAGCTGTCAGCACATCTACCGCTGCTTGTTCTTATTCTGTTTAGCGTTGTCCATGTATTGCGGGTCAGTTCAAAGCCTGGCGGTTTCTGATCGATACAGGCCATTTGATGTGCTTCCTGTGGTGAGTCGCTCTCCCATTGTGTTCTCCAAGCTTTGGTCAGGTTGAAATGTTCCTGATGTAAGGAGTTGGCTCTTAGCAATGGAGGATATCTGGAGCGCAGTCTGTTTATTTCGATATCAAGCTTATCTTGGTGTATAGGTAGTTGATGGTTAGCCTCAATTTTTCGATATTCTCTGAGAAGAAAATGACTTCTTCGCAGTTTCGGCGGTGGAATGTGACTCAGAATGGGAAGCCAATAGTTCGGTGTGGGTCTAATTGTACCTGAGATCATTCGCATTGTCTGGTTTAATTGAGTGTCAATAATCTTTGTGTGTTTGCTATTGAGCCATACCGGGGAAGCATATTCAGCCACCGAGTATACAAGTCCGAGAGCGGATGATCTGAGTACGGAGGCTGAAGACCCCCATGTAGTGCCACATAGCTTTTGGACTATATTATTTCTCGTTTTCAGCTTTGCTGTCGTTCTTTGAAGATGTTCTTTAAAACTCAATGTTCTGTCCAGAGTCACTCCAAGATATTTTGGTGTTGAGTTATGAGTGAGCAGTCTGTTTTCGAAGTGGATGGAGAGTTTTTTGTTGGCTTGGGCATTATTCAGATGGAAACAGCACACTTCGGTTTTCGTTGCATTAGGCCGTAGCCTCCATTTGCGAAAGTATTCTCCCATAATGGCAAGGTCATCCGCTAATATTGTTTCTGTGATATCCATGTTATTATGTCTTGCTGCAATGGCCCAATCGTCAGCGTAGCCAAATTTCTGCGAAGTTGTCCTAGGTAGGTCCGCGATATATAAATTGAACAGTAAGGGTGCCAAAACAGATCCCTGTGGCAGTCCATTGCTGAGCTTCATTTGGGAACTTTTAGAATTGTCTATTGTGACTTGAAAAGGTCTGTCGGTGAGCATGTTATCAATGAGTTTAGTTACCTTTTGACACGGGACGGCACGGATTAGCTTGCAGATTAGTCCTTGTCTCCAGACAGTATCGTATGCAGCTGATAGGTCAATGAAAGCAACGGATGTTTTTTGTTTTCTTTGAAAACCAGCTTCAATATGCGTTGTTAAAGATAGGATACTGATCTGTGCAGCTGCGGTTAGGTCTGAATCCTGCTTGCTCAATAGGTATCAATTCAAATACTTTTCTACTAATTCTGTTGTAGATTAAGCGTTCGTTTTGAGGCTGATTATTTGCCTTTCCTGGTTTTAATATGGCTATAATGGAGGCCTTTTTTAATGAATGGGGATTTCTCTGATTTTAACATATCTGTATAGAAGCAGCCAGCTATTTCCTAGCATATTTGCCACAGTGGAGTAAAAATTCTGATGAATTTTATCGGAGCCGGGTGCCTTTCCAGACT